GTGGCTTAAACAACATTTTTTTCCTCACAGTTCTAGATGCTGAAAGTTCAAGATCAAGTGCCAGCACGGTTGGTTTGTCCAGAGGTGTTTCTCCTAGGCTTACAGATGGTCCCCCTCTTTTTGCCTTGTCATGAGGTTTTCCCTCTGTGTACACAGGCCCCTGATATCTGTGTAGCCTACTGTCTTCTTGTAAGATAACAGTCAGATGGGATTAGAGGGTATACTAACAGCCTTATTTTAACTTTTATACCTCTTTAAAGGTATCTCCAAATACATTCACATTCTGAGGTTCTGAGGGTTATGGCTTCAACATATGAATTTCGGAGGGGACACAGTTCAGTCCCTAGTTTTATTATAATGTTGAGTCATCATGATAATAGTGGGCATCCTTGTGGTATTTCTGACTTTAAAGGGGATACTGCCAATGTTTCTCAGACTATACTCATAAAGTTTAGGGAAGTCTCTCTTATTTGAGCGATTTTGTTTAAGATTAGGTAGTATTAGGTTTCACCAAACAGTTTTTTGGCATGTTTTGATAAAAAGACATTTTTTGTTTATTAATATAGTGAATACTAATTTTGAATCTACATTTTCTTCTTGAGATTTGCTATGCTTGGTCATGGTTTTTAATTATAGTTTGTCTAGTTTACTTGATTAATGTTCTTTTTTAAAAATTTTTTTAGCTGTAGTTGGACAAAATATTTTTTTAAATTTTTTTTATATACATGACAATAGTGGAATGCATTACACTCTGGACACAATATCTTTATTTTTTTTAAAGAGAAAGAGAGAGAGAGAGAGAATTTTAACATTTATTTTTTTGTTTTTTTCGGCGGACACAACATCTTTGTTTGTATGTGGTGCTGAGGATCGAACCCGGGTTGCACGCATGCCAGGCGAGCGCGCTACCGCTTGAGCCACATCCCCAGCCCAACGATATCTTTATTTTTATGTGGTGCTGAGTATTGAACCCAGGGCCTCACATATGTGAGGCAAGCGCTCTACCACTAAGCTACAACCCTAGCCCGATTAATGTTCTTTTTTTAATATTTATTTTTTAGTTTTAGGTTGACACAGTGTCTTTATTTTTTATTTTTATGTGGTGCTAAGGTTCGAACCCAGTGCCTCATTCATGCTAGGTAAGCACTCCACCACTGAGCCACAACCCCAGCCCTAATGTTCTTCTTAAAGACTAGTTTTTTGTTTTATTGATCCTTTCTAATGGTTGATGTTGTGTCTGATTTTTTGTTCCTTTTATCAGTGTTCTTTTTTAACATCTTGAGTTAAAAGCACTGGTCATTTATTTTCAGTCTGCCTTTTGATGAGGGGTTTTAAAATTTTATGTTTTTAATTAAAATGAAGTAAAATTGGCTTTTTTGGTATACACATGTTTAGATACTTGTAACCACCACAGTGAGGATGTAGAACCCTTTGATCACCCCCTATACTCTCTTATGTTACTTCCACTTTGAAGTCATGTCCTCCCTCTACTTCAAACCTCTGGCAGTCCCTGATCTGCTCTTTATCATTGTAGCTTTGCCTTTGCCAGAAAGTCTTATAAATGGAATTGTGCTGTATGATATTTTGAGACTGGCATTTTTACTCAGCATAATGCCTTTAAGATTCATTAATGGCTTGAGTCTTTGTGTCTTCTCTCCTTTTTTATTGATTAGTTTAGCTATAAGTACTTGGCAGTTAACTTTTGGTTTTCTTGATTCTATTGCTTTTCTACTCTATTTCATTTATTTCTCATCTTTATTATTTCTCTCTAGCTTTGGGTTTAGTTTGGTCTTCTTTTTCTTAGCTTTTTGAAGGAATATTATGGAAGTTAGGCTATTGATTTAAGATCTTTCATGTTTTTACATGAAGGTATTTTCAGCTATAAACTTTTGCTGTATCCCATAGGTTTTGGTGTATCCCATAGGTTTTGGTATGTTGTGTTTTTTTATCCATCTTATAATTTTTCATACTCACACTTTTGATTTCTTCTTTGGTTATTTTAGAGAGTGTTATTTAATTTCTACCTTTTTTTAAAAATTTTCCATTTATCCTTCTGTAATTGATTTATAGTTTCATTCCATTGCAGTTTGAAAAAAATATTTTGTATGATTTTAGCTTCTTTTTGTTTGTTAAAAATATTTTTAGTTGTAGATGGATGTAATATTTTGTATCTTTCTTTTATTTATTTTTATGTGGTGCCGGGGATCAAACCCATTGCCTCCCACGTGCAAGGCAAGTGCTCCACCACTGAGCGACGCAACTCCAGTCCTGATTTTGGTTTCTTAAAACACAATAAGACTAATTTTGTGACCTAATATGTAGTATGTTCTAGAGACTGTTTCCTGTACACTTGAGAAAAGTGTGTTTCCTATTCTTTTTGTGTGGAGTGTTCTATACTTGTCCATAAGGTCTAATTGGTTTAGAGTGTTTTCAAGTCTTTTATTCCCTTATTTATCTCTCTTTTATATAGAATCAAAAATGGAACATTTAAATCTCCAGTTATTCTTGTAGAATTGCTGTTTTCCTTCAGTTGTGTCAGTGTTTCATATATTTTGAGATTCACTCATTAGGGGTGTGTTTGTGTGCGCTCCTGTGTGCGTTTGATTGTTACATGTTCTTGGATTGGCCAGATTATGTAATTATCTTCTTTGCATCCTGTAACAGTTTTCAACTTGCAGTGTAATTTGCCTGGTGTTAGCATAGTCACCACAGCTTTCTTTTTGGTTGCTATTTGCATGGAGTGTGTTTTTACAGCCTTTTGCTTTCATCTTAGTTGTTTGTTTCAGATCTTGCAGATGATATACTATTGGATCATTTTTCACTTCATTCTCCCAATCTCTCCCTTTGGATTGATGACTTTAATTTGTTTGCATTTAAAGTGATTACCAATAAGGAAGAATTTTTGCTATTTTACTATTTTTTTGTTTTTGTTTTTGTTGTTGCTATTGTTTTAGAGACAGGGTCTCACTCTGTTGCCCAGGCTGGCCTCAAACTTTTGAGCTTAAGCAATCCTCTTGATTTAGCATCCTGACTATACAGGTCTCTGCTGTCTCACCTAGCCATGATGTGTCTTCTATATGTCTTATAACTTTTTGGTTTCTCAGTCTTCTTTTATCTCTTTTTTTATGCTTAATTGCTTTTTTTGTAGTGTACTGATTTAACAGTCTAGTTCCATAGCCTACAAAAACTTGGCTCCTAGGGGCTGAGGTTGTGGCTCAGTGGCAGAGTGCTTGCCTAGCATGTGTGAGGCACTGGGTTCAATTCTCAGCACCATATAATAAAAAATAAAGGTCCATCAACAACTAAAAAGTAATTAAAAAAAAAACAACTTGGCTCCTATATACCTCTACCTCCTCCCTAGTGTTTTTTGATCCCAAATTACTTCTTCATGCATTGTATTCCTATTGACACAGATTTATAGCTAATTATTTTACACGTTTATCTTCTAAATCACTTAGGAAACAAAAAAGAGGATTTATTTATATATATTTTTAATACTGGGGTTCAAACCAGAAAGAGGATTTAGAAGCCACAAATACTATAATCCTTTTATATTTACTTTTATGGGGGTTGTTTTAGCTTCAAGTTACTCTCTATTATCCTTTCATTTCAGCCTTAAATACCTCTTTATCATTTCTTGAAGGCAAGGTATATAATGACTAAATAACCCCAGATTTTAGGGTTTTTAAAAATGTCTTATTTCTTGTCTATCTGGTGTGGTCTCTGCACCCATGTCAAAAATCATTAGCCAAGCCAGGCATGGTGGCATATACCTGTAATCCCAGTGGCTCAGGAGGATGAGGCAGGAGGATATTGACGTTAAAGCCAACCCCAGCAACTTAGCAAGGCCCTGAGTAACTCAGTGAGACTGTGTCTCTAAATAAAATACAAAAAAAAGGGCTGAGGATATGGCTCAGTGGTTAAGCACCCCTGGATTCAATTCCCCATTACCAAAAAAGAAAAGAAAAAGAAAAAATCATTGGCCAGCCAGGCATGTCGGTGAACACCTATGGTCCCAGATACTCAGGAGGCTGATGCAGTATGAGTGCAAATTTAAGGCAAGCTTGGGCAATATAGTGGGATGCTATCTTAAAAAACATAAAGGGCTGGGGATGAAGCTTAATAGCAGACAGAGCACCCTGGGGTTTATTCTCTGGTAGCACAGAAGTCATTAGAAAGTTTTCACTCTTATCCTTTGCTTTTATTTTAGGCTTAACAGAAACATCTGAATTTGACCTCACCAGTAGGATACTTTAGACCATATTATCACTAAATCTTATGTCTGTTGAATGTGGATTGTGAGAAAAATATGATAAACTATATAGTTGTATGTTTCTGTTAGATGTGATACTTGTATGTGTGTTTTGTCATTCAGAGCATTCCATTCCAGTGATTCTCAGTCCACATGGTCTTTTTGTTCCTGATTTGTATATTTAGTGTTTACTGTTAATTTTTCCATTCATTTAGCAAACACTGAGCATCTACTCTGCATTGTTTTAGGCTCCCTTAATAGGAAATCAAATAATTTTTATATATATATATATATATATATATATATATCAGTGCCCTCATGATAATTTAGGAGTAATAGATTTAATAGTAAGTTCCTAAATACTGTATAGCAATTCCAATAGAATCAAGCACAAGATACTGAGGAGATCTGAGAGCGAGGCATCTGAATCAGACTAGGAATGTGAGGGAAGTCATCTTATAGGAGGTGAATCTAGAACTGGGTTTTTTAAAAGGTGAGTAAAGTAACTCATGAAATTACTCACCATATGGATGTTGGATAAATGAATCAAAATTAGGTGAATGTGGCAGGACTTTTGTAGCAAGGGTGCAAAGGTAGAGAAGGCATGAATCACATTCAGAGGCTTGCAGTCAAATGTGGATTAAGTAAAGGGTACACTTATAGTGCAGTAGGAAGAACTGGAGTATGTATTCTGTCTCACTCTTTTGGATGAGATCTCAGTTTACCCTGCTTTCCCCTCTCCCTACAGTCTACCCTTCCCTGGAATCTGATGATGATGACCCTGCTCTGAAATCTCGACCCAAGAAAAAGAAGAATTCAGATGATGCCCCATGGAGTCCTAAAGGTGATCCAGTATTTTGTACCTTTAATTTTGTAGGTATGGTCAGGGGGGAAATAGACTGGAAGTAGAAGGGATATTTTATTCAATAAAACCCAGTTCAAGCTGGGCATGATGGTACATGCCTCCTGAGACAGGAGGATCCCAAGTCAAGGCCAAATTCAACAATATAGTGAGGCCCTAAGTAACTTAAGTGAAACCTGTCTCAAAATTAAAAACGCTGGAGGTGTTGTTCAGTGGTTAAGTGCCCCTGGGTTCAATCCCTGGTACAAAAAAAAAAAAGGCCCAGTTCAGACACTCATTTGTTTATTCAACAAGCATTTGTTATGTCCAGACAGATTGTTAGATGCTGGAGATAAAATAGTCAGTAATTAAACAGTTATATAATCAGTTCAACAAAACCAGAAATAATGAGACATGCAGCTTACTTATTTTATGACTTGAGGAGAAAGGAGGAGAACCTTGAACAGATTCTACCAAGCAGACTAGGGCTTCAGAGAACATTCTGATATTGTAAGGGTCCGGCGAAGCATCGGAGAAAGAGACCACCAAGTGACCACTCATGCAATTGGCAGAAGGGGATTTATTGAGGATCCGATTCAGCGCGCTGAGGCTCCAGGCTCACCCAGGAGGGGAAAGCAGCCCAGAGCCCCGAGCAGGGGCTGAGCACTGCTTAAGTACACTTTTTGGGGAGGGCGGAGGGCTTTGTATACATCAGAACAAATCATCATGAGGCGCGGGAAAATTGAACAACAACTCCTAAACATGATTAGTTCATTCATTGGCGGGAACAGGTCGGGCGGGGGTGATAGGTCAGTTCTAAACGGGGTACACATTCAAACTGATTGGTTTTAGGGCCTAAATGACTACGTGACAAGTTACACAGAGTCCCAAGTTATTGGACAACCAGGGAGTCAGTGGGAATATTTACTGGGCAGTTCCAGTATTGTCCTAACAGCTACAGGGATTTCAGGTTTTGCAGGTAGCATAGAAACCTAACAATACCTAATCCTTTACATTTTAACTCAGACCTTGCAGCTTAGAAACTTTACAATGCCCGGTCTTTTACACTTTAACTTTTACACTTTAACTTCAATTTCTTTTACCCTTTCAATATCATCATCCTAGCCCTCTGGTAATTTTGTGGTCAAGGAGGTGAATTATGCTGACTGTTGAGCTCTACAAGGTTCAAGACTCATCTTTTGAGAAGCCATCCCTGAGTATGATAGAATCATTATTGAGTTGAATATAGAAATTAGAGGGTGATCAAATAATCTTCTCTATTTCCTTGGTTGGCTTGTTTTTACATTGGAGGATATATCAATAAGACTTTGCTGCTTAACAAACAACCCAAAACTTAGTGGCTTAAAACAACAGTAATGGACCATTTTTCAGAATGATTCTGTAAGTTGGTTAAGTTGTTCTTTCATTCTGAGGCAGTTTGACTGGTGGTATAAAAAGATCTTCCTCAGTGTCTGGTACCTAACTTGTGCTGCAGTCTGGCTGGGCACAAAATAACTGAGCCACCACACCGCCTTGTAGATTCAAACAGCAGCTCTTTATTCCCGAACTGTCACTGGCACTCTACACACACGTTCTGGGAAAATTTTCCCTCCACTGGGCTCTGCGTCCCAAATACTCTCAGAACCCCGAGAGAACTCAACGGGAACTCAAGGAGCCGGCGCCTGAGGCAGCAGGATACGCCCTGTTCCCAGCAGGATCCACCCTAAACCTGGAACCGCCCTAAACCCGGATTGGCCCTAAACCCCTAACCCTAACCCTAAACCCAGATCCACCCTGGTCCTTGAGCAGGGTCACCTTTCTCAAACATTCATGCAATGTCACTGCAAATGACCTGGGTCCAAGGCAAGCCCATTTCCACAATGGAGAGTCCTCCCTCTAAGCAACATTGGGTAGGCTGACAAGGAAATTGCCATGCATCATTCCTACTTGGCTATGGCTCTCAGCAAACTTGGATAACTGAGCCTTTTTTCTTATTGTCTTTTGTCCATCAGGAGGCTATCCCAAGCTTTTTCATAAGGTGGCAAAAGGGTTTCCAGCAGCAAGAAAGGACAAGCCCCAATGTATAAGCACTTTTCAAGCCTCTGCTTGTTTCTTAATTGTTATTGTCCCATTGGCCAAAACAAATTATATGGCCAAACCTCAATTTCAGGGCTGGAGAAGTAGATTACACCTCTCAAAAGGGGAGCTCCAAAGTCACATTGCAAAAGGATGGAGATATATATATATATATATATATATATATATATATATATATATATATATATATATATATATTATACACACACACACACACACACACACACAGAGGTGTGAGAAACTGAGGGCCATTTCTGTAGCAGTGTGCCATTGAGGATGCTGGAATCTCTGTATCTGTGGTTCTCGGGAAATAAGGGCCCTTTTAGTCCCAGCAAGCCTTATTTGACTCTTTTGTTGTTTGCTTGGGGTTGGAGGAGTAGGACAGCAGGACATTTTTGGGAAGTGTTCTCTTAGTCAATTGGCAAATAAAAAAAAATAGGCCTATTTTCTTATTTTATTTTCTTCTGTAGTTTGTAGTTTTATATCTCCTGTCAAAGTAAAATTTTCACATTAGTGTAATAGAAAATGTGGAAAATACCAAAGATAGAGGAAATTATAAAGAAGAAACCACCCATGAGTTTGCTACCCAGAGACAACCCTTGTTAACATTAACATATTTTCTTCTAGTCTTCTTTTCCTGTGCATTTTTCTTATTGTGGTTGAAATATCACTGTATATGCAATTGTATATCCTACTCTTTTTATTTATTTTTTGTCTTTTTTAATTAAAGGTAATGTATAGCAAATAAAATACTATGGAGGAGTTCAGGATGAAAAGCAATGTTCTTATATTTCTGCTTTCCCTATCTTCAATTATGTGCCTGAAAAGCAACCTCATAGTTTTTATTTTCCTGGTATATACCTATAAAACTCAAGATGATAGAATTTATACCACTAGTTCTCCTTTAATCAACTTCTGTTGTGCCCTTAGTATTTCTCCAACCCCCAGCCTTCTATAAATCATTCATTTTTATTTATATTATAAAGCTTGTTAACATATACATTTTCTTGTGATTAATTTTAGTCCATATTTACTAGAAATTTAGTATAAAATTGAAAATCAATGCATATATTTGACCTATTAAATTAATATATGTTAAATATGTCCCTGTGCCATTGTTTATAAATAATATTTTAATGGCTACAAATGCCTATTTTATGGATATACCTAATTTATTTAATCTGGAGGCATTTAAGCTATTGTTTATCATAATTAGCGACAACATTTGAGGTGAACATCTTTATATATAAATGTATATCTGGCAACTTGCTTAGGATGGATCCCCATGAAATTTTAGAAAGGTCAAACTATATGAGAATGAATGGTGAAAAGTCTCCCTTCCACCTCTTTTCCAATTGATTCTTATTTTCCTTTCAGAGATAATTTCTGCATATCCAAATACATGTATATATTGTCTTTTCTCCTCTTTTTTATTTAATTGGAAATTTACTGTTTTAGTAAGCTATTTTGCTGCTGTGACTAAAAGACCTGACCAGAAAAACTGTAGAGGAGGAAAAGTTTATTTGAGGGCTCATGGTTTCAGATGTCTCAGTCCACAGACAGCAGGCTCCATTCCTGGGGTCTTGAAATGAGGCAGAACAACATGGCAGAAGAGTGTGGCAGAGAGAAGCAGCTCACATGATGATCAGAAAGCAGAGAGAGACTCCACTCTCCAGATACAAAATATATATCCTAAAACCAAGGCCCAATTCCCACTTCCTGCAGCCACACCCTACCACTTCAATTTCCGCTCAGTTAATCCCATCAGGGATTAATTAACTTATTGCGTTAAGGATGTAACTCAATCATTTTTCCTCCAAACCTTCTTGTATTGTCTCACACATGAGTTTTTAGGGGACACCACATCTAACCCATAACATTTACTTATATACTCTATTAGTTTTTTATTTTTCTCAATAATGCATCTTAGAAATTATTTACATTCCCACAGGCAGTGCACAAGAGTGGCTGTTTCCCTTTACATTTGCCAACACAATTTCTTAATGTAAACATTTTAAAAGCTCTTGATACATACAAGCAAATTACTTTCCCAAAAGGTTGGGACAATTTACCTTCCCACCAGCCATTTGTAAAAATGCCTGTTTATGAAATCCTTGCAGGCATTGAAAATGTCAGTTAGGAAGAGTGCTTGCATATGAGTAACAGGAACCTGTCAAGCATCCTTAGTGTTTAGTCCCTAGGGTAGAGCTGCTTTAGTTGATGTCCATGGACTTTTGGATCCTTGAATCTCCTACATTGTATTAAAAATTTATGTAAATGTACATATATATTTGTATATATTTCTCTAGTTAAAACATTATCACATTTTCAAAGCAAGTCTAAAAAGATTTCACTGTTCTACCAAAGAGATTTTCACTTAAAATCAGGAATAAGATGTATGCCCATTAGCTCTTCTGTTATTTAGCATTGATTTTGAAGTTCTAGCCAGTATAATTAGGAATAAAGCAGAAATAAGGACTGTGTAATAAATTAAGAGAACATGTCATGATGATGTGGGGATCCCAGGATGGGAATCCTGTTCATTTTTGTCCATTGTTTTCACTGGAGCACCTTGCATAGTACTAGCAAAGGGGTGATGTTTAATAAGTATTTGACAAGTGAAAGAATTTGTATGATTGTATAATAAATATAAGTAGAAAACAGAAATATGGCATTTTGAATATTAGAAAATGCAAGAGAATCAAAAACTTAGAATTAATAAGAGAATTCAGTAAATTGGGCAATCCCTAGATATAAACTAGATAGCCACAAACCATGAATTTCTGCATATCAGTAATAATCATAATGTACTGAGAGAAAAAAGACCTTTTTGACAGTAGCAACAATTATATAAAATACCCAAGAATAACCTTAAGAAGACACATGTGGAACCTATGAGAAGAAAA